CTTAGTTCCATTCCCAAACGAGTCGCTCTGGAATCCGAGTTGTTTGAGGACGTTTCTGTGGCTATCCAGACTCTCAGCGCGGACATGAGTTGAGATCGATGTTAAATCGGAGGTATCGCTTCTTAAATACCCTTTCAGTGCCGAACGATCACAACAGGAATAAAATGGCCAACGATACACCCATTCTGTCAGTTGGCACATCAGAACAGGGCTATAAGCCCCTGGCCTCAACGATTCAAGTAATACACGATTCAAGTAATACAAGAGACCCTTATAATGATAGTTCGTATCTCTCTCTCTCTCTCTCTCTCTCTCTCTCTCTCTCTCTCTCTCTCTCTCTCTCTCTCTCTCTCTCTCTCTCTCTCTCTCTCTCTCCTCACTCCCATTTCTGTCTGTCTGTCCGTCGGCTCCCCCCCCCACCCCCTCTCTCTCTCTTCTCTCCCCCCTCTCTCTCTCACTCTCTCACTCCCTTCACCCTCTCTCTGTTAATTAGTTAAACAGACTGTCTACAAATGCCATGACCCCCATATACGCACTAAGAAAGCCAACAGCTCAAAGATGAATAATGACTTTGACGACAATAAATAGGCTTAACTATTAAGTATTTTCTGTGCGCCTTGCATGTTTTATGTCGACTTTCAAAGCATATATTTTTTGTTTCGCATATTCTCATCTGCACTGGGGATTCGTGAGAGAAACGCACAAATAAACTACCAAGGGCAGAGATGGTATGTGTAGACGCCAATAAAGGCTATCAAACTGCAGGTGGAAACTTCAAAGACGGGGTTCTTATACACTTAAGATTTATCGCCTTATCAGTGATAAGACTCTGTGAGTCGGAGAGCTTTTGGGTGCTTAATGCGAAAATTCCGAGCAATTTCGTCGCCTTCCTAAACGGTAATCCCCCCACCCCTCCACTCGATCCCGACTTCCTTCTCTCTCCCGTCTTATATCCCGGGACCATTCATTTATTCAACCATCATTTTATTCATAGGTTTCTTTGAAAGCGTGTTCAGCATACATTTACAGCTCATTGTGAGGGGTCCGTTATTGTTGGCTCTTTTTTGTTCATCTGATTAAAATATTAATTTAGATGTATAAGAGACCATAATATTTAATCTATGCAGCAGGGAGTCTGTCTTCAAAATAATTTTTTTTCAGGTGAGAAGTGTGAACTCACCCTCGCCTACCTACCACTGGGGAGTGGGGAAGTTTTTAGTTCATCGACTATCTCAGACTTCCTGCAGGGAATCTGTATCTTCTCAGCCTAGGTTAGTTACAGCGAGAGAGAAAGAGTGCTAAACGAGGAGGAAGGGAAATCAAGATAGAGGGAAGGGGAGAGAGAGAGAGAGAGAGAGAGAGAGAGAGAGAGAGAGAGAGAGAGAGAGAAAGAGAGAGAAAAGCAAAGTGGAAAAGAAAAAAGATAGTTCAAGCCCAAAGTGCACATTCCCAATAAAAGCCTTATTATTCCCGCAGATAGCACAAGAGACGAGTTCTTCTTCTCTTCATTTCATCAGTGTTCTTTTGTGTGAGCCGAGTTAACCCGAAACGGGGGGTGGTTGTGGGTGCTCAGTTGTAGTCTGTTCTTTGCATAAAAAAAAAAAATGGGGTTAACAACTATCTCAGTCTGTATCGCCCTTATCCCCCATAATATGACCCATTTGTGTTAAACTCTTACTAAAACTTTACTTTAAATAAATGAATCGCAGTTTGTCCCCAGCACATGAAATGGGATAAAGGATCATTTTGACTCAAAACATAATCGTTCAAAAATCTGTAAAAAGATGGTCTCCCAGTTTGCTAGATGTTTTCGCTCTGTTTCCGTATAGTCAAGAGGCAGATAAACTGATTTTGTTCAACAATAAATAAAATACAGGTAGGTACGTGCACTCGCTCATCAGAAAACTTGGAATGGTAATGGAAGAGGTACATTTAAATTCCCCATCTCCTATCTATTGAAGGATTATACTTCTGTATTATTCTAAGTCACCCAGACAATCAAAGTGGGGGAAACCTACAGCAGTATATCTAAGTACGTAGTACATACTAGCTGGATACCCGTTTGATGAACAGACTCAAAAGAATCGATCGTCAAGTCATTGTGGAAGATCAGTGCGCACTGCCTATGAACGGGCGCCTCACTTGTTTACATTGACGTCTTAAAAGACGGACTTTCCCAAGATTAGATCTAAACGCAACTAATGAAAAACTAAAAATCAAACAACAGTGACTTCAGCCGCCTTAATATGAATGTGCACCTTTTAAATGATTCTGAACCACCGTTATTTTTTTTTCAAATTCAAATGTTAAGTGATTCGGAAGTTTTAGGCGACCAACGTGACGAACTTTCACAAATATAATATATATAGATAATTTTACAACGTGACTGCCCTAAAAGACGTAATAAAATGCTCCATTGAAGTTGCTAAGCATGAATTAACTAATAAATAATAGTTATTTAATCTACCAAAGGACTAACTTCTTATACCTCCTCTCCCCC